TGCGCGTGTGAGAGAAAGCGACGGCGAGTCGTGCGCCTTCACACTAGAGTTTACGTTACGCCAAATACACAAACACCGGTGCGCTGCATATCCATTCCAATGAACTGAAAAATATCACAGATCGCTTGACGGAGAGTGAAACTCTGAAGCGCTCAGTCAGAATAAAAAGACATGCTATTTATGAAGTGGATGTAACTTTTGATACTTCGCTGTAAAAGTGGCTCTCCGATTGACTTTGCCCTATCAGTGCGGCTCCCATGAAAAAAATAGTGAAGACCACTGAACCTAGTCTTACAAACATTTACAAACTGTATCCGGTATGATAACAATGTTATGTACATTTTATGTTATGTTACGTTATGTTGCATTTTCACTGTTTACAATGGCAGGGCCTGCCATCTTGTCTTTTTGGCTTGTTGTTTCTGTTTGCACTTTAACCCCAAGGGGGAAATCCAGATCAAATCCCAGAAGGGAAAATCAAAACAAAATAAAGTTAAAACTTGTTTTGAACAATTTCTTTGTCATCTGCAGATTGATTTTAAGTAGGGGGGAAAAAATCGATTTAAATCGTAAATCGGATTTTTGTGAAAAAAATCAGTTTTTTTTTTTTTTTTAGGCCATATCGCCCAGCCTTATGTTTATGTGTAATAAATTTTGTTGAATCAAATCAAATATTTATTTCTAAAGCTACTATTTGTAATATCTACTTGATACTTTCTCATGTAACACAATAATAGCTTTAAATTATCTTTTGTGGGTAATTTTTACAGCCAAATTCAATTTGTGATTAATTAGATTAATTAATCGACACATCATGTAATTAGATAAAAAAAAATGTATCAACTGACAGCCCTAATTATAATATTGACGGAAATGTTACACCCCTTACCATACTGTGATGCCGTGTGTGTGACGAGCGCCGGTGTGCAGATCTTCTTTATGCACCAAGAGCTTGCAACACTCCAAAGAGAAAGGAAAAATTGAAATCGCATCATATGACCCCTTTAATTTATCATGGTCTAACAGCTGCTTTGAACATGCTTCATCCAATCCAAACTTAGTCAGAACTATCCATTTAATATTATTTTTGGCGATTGCACTTATGTATGTGTGACTAATTTCTATTTAAAATCCTATTGTTCTTGTTTAATATCTAAAAATGCTGCAAAGGCATCCAAAAATAGCACTGTTGCCATCTGGGCCAGAATTTCCTTGAGTGGGTTTGTAGGGTGTTGGTACAAGATTGCTGATTTTAAAATAAAAGTAACTTTATCGACTTCCTCGCAAGGTTGCGTAACATGGCTGTGGCCAAAAGTGCTGTCTAGATAGGCAGCTCACTAAGTTTTGAGACACTGCCTGTGACCAGTATCTGCACTCTGGCTTTATAAGGAAAATAAAAGCATACTATTACTCTTTTCTTGTAGATAAAATGTAATATTACTTTCATGTGCGGTTACATAATAGCATTCGGATGCCTTCAGGAACCTTTTTAAGACTAAAATTACAGAGATGGTTTGTTTCTCTGGGACAAAGCATACGATTTTCCCGTTCATTTGCGGACTTTCTCTTGGGAGAAATTTTGGGTCACATTTTGTGTACTCTGTTCAGCTTTACGCTAAAACAAATAGCTGGGCCATATTGGCAAAGAAGAGGATGTTATGTCACTAACGATTGCTTTAATTACTGTTAAACCTCATGCCCTGTAAGCCTCAAGGCTTACCGAAAACCTTTTGTTAATGCAAATTCCAAGTATTCACTTATTTCCGATGTACATCTTCCTATTCAATCTGTTCCTGCTACTGTACTCCCCAGTGCAGTCCTAAATTGTGAATGAGAATGAGTATTAATGTAGATGTGTTCAGCGCCTATAGGGAGGGACTATTATTTTGTGGCTGGGAGGTGGTGCGTGGCTGGAGGGCCGGCTTCAAGAAGTGGTTGGGCAAACTGCTATAGATCATGCTGAAACAGGTGACCGTTCAGCTTTGCGCTAAAACAAATAGCTGGGCCATACTGGCAAAGAAGAGGATGTTATGTCACTAACGATTGCTTTAATTACTGTTAAACCTCATGCCCTGTAAGCCTCAAGGCTTACCGAAAACCTTTTGTTAATGCAAATTCCAAGTATTCACTTATTTCCGATGTACATCTTCCTATTCAATCTGTTCCTGCTACTGTACTCCCCAGTGCAGTCCTAAATTGTGAATGAGAATGAGTATTAATGTAGATGTGTTCAGCGCCTATAGGGAGGGACTATTATTTTGTGGCTGGGAGGTGGTGCGTGGCTGGAGGGCCGGCTTCAAGAAGTGGTTGGGCAAACTGCTATAGATCATGCTGAAACAGGTGAATCAGCCAACCAAATTTCATGAAGGTTTGGTATCAGATGGCCCAGTCTGAATAAATATCCCTAGTGCTTGTTCAGCCCAAAATTTAGCATGAAATGCAGCAGAGATAAGCTAGAAGCAGAAACCATATTCTAGCCATGAATGCTTTTTGCAATCACCATCTCAATCCAGTTGCATTTTTTAACAGCCAGTCTGTTTGTTTGGTTTACTGCTTAAAAACCTCTCATTTGGTTCATTAAGCACAAAGCTCTAAATGTGGTCTCCAGGCCGGATGGTATTCATTTGTGTTGCACACAGTCGTTGTCATTAAATATCCTTTGGGAATAAATTGGTAAATGCCATCCACAAAACACGTAGGAAGCAACCCTCAAAAGGTCTCCAGTTCCCATAGCCTTTGCATGCAGAGAGAGTTTGTGTGGCTTTGAGGTCTTGCTGCCACCTGTCTTGTGATTGATTCATTTAAAGGTGCCTCTGGATTAAGTGTACTCATCTGCCGTTCTCGCAGTCAAGTAAAGCCTGATTAAAAGTTGCCTTGAGCAGTCATTAAAATCCAGCAACACATTCACCGTGAATTTCTGCATTTACTCAGCTCTGTTTCAGGCGTTCCAAGTTAGATGGGGGGACGTGTCGATTCAATTCAAATCTAATTTGAATATATGAAATTGTATATTTCTACAGGCAGAATGTCTTTATTGAATTGTACTTCAGCTCACTTATATTTGCTGAGTTGAAACGGAATTGTTTCCAGCAAAATCACTTTTTTTTTTTTCCTCTTGGTTTGCTGTGTTTCTGACCTTACTGTTTGTCCTTTCTGTGTGTGTTTACAGTGATGCCACGTTTCACTGAGCAGGTAGAGGCAGCCGTGGAGGCTCTCAGCACCAACCCAAGCCAGCCAGTGGATGAGAACGAGTTCATTGATGCCTCGCGTCTAGTATACGATGGTGTGAGGGACATCAGGAAGGCTGTGCTTATGATCAGGGTGAGCAGAAACCTTTAAATAGAAAAAAGTTTCTCTTCCCAATTTTAAAAGGTTTGCCTAGAAAAAAATCTCATCCTCGGGTTGTTTGAACCCTGTACTGTTTTCTTTCTCACTTGAAACTACACTGGTAGTAGGCAGATCATGTAAGCTGTTGTTTTCCATACAACAAAAGGGCAGATTACTATTACAAAAAATGCACCAAAAAAGCACATTAAAATGAGTCAATATGACTGAATTACTGTATGGAAAAGATCAGCTTGGATGTTCTGCCTAACATCTATAGTATTTCACATAAGACTCAGTTCAATTTTGGAATGATATGATTGTGAGTAAATTACTACTTTTTCTCTCTTTTTTTTTTGGATGCATTTTTCATCTATTCTTTTAAAAGAGCAGTTAAAGAGTTTATTACTTCATCTATGCCACCCACACAGGTTTCCAGTGCACTCTGAATTTTATGACCTTTCTATGTGTTTTTTTTATCACTTCCATTTTTTTCCCCATTTGTAAGAGCTCGTAATATTGAGGTAAACTCCAATTAAGTATATCAAAATTCTTTCGGGATTAGAGGGAAGAAGAGGGCAGGGTTAATTGGTGGTTTGCTCTGTGAGGATATATATATAACTCAGAATAATACTGCACTTAAACTGAATGTGTGCTTGAGAGGAAAAAAAATGAAAAGGCTGGTGTGGATATATGTGCCGCTTTATTAGAAACTAATTGTGAATTTGTTTTGGGCAAATGGTAACCTAATTGAACAGATTTCCCTCTCCATGTGCACTATTACCAGAGCTGTAGTTTTCTGAGGGTTAATGGTCTATCCCTGAGCTGAACTGTAACATTGGACAGATGGTTGCTAGCTTGCAGTGAAGCGTTAGCTAACAGTCTGACAATAAGCAGACAACAGTCCGCTCTTGCTGTGCAGGGAATCGCACAGACCCTTAACTCCACTTCACCGGAACAACTAGGTTAAAGGCATTAATTGAGGCAAATATAGTCTTTCGTAGTTCCAGACTAATGAGTTTTCAATTAATTGCGAAGATAATATACACTGAATTTGAATAATTGGCTTGTGAGGAAGTGTGTTGGAATGTATTAGCGCCTTTAGTTAAAGCAAAGAGTGCGGTCACGACCCGGATAATGAAGCCAGAGTAGCATTCGATTAAAAGGCCTCCGGAAATTGGGTGGCACATATACGCACTCGTGTATTTGCTATTGATAATTGTAATCGCATCATATTTCTTTGCCGCCTTTGTACTTGCATACTTTGTTTGAATACATCCACCAACCTTCTCTTTTCAAATGTCAAGTAGCAAGACGATTCGCATCGACTAGTTTGATGCAGAAGAAACTATCTGACTTGTTCCAAAATATTCATTAATAACAGAGGGTTTAAATTAGAATAAACACAAAATTAGATGGGGTTTAAGATCCTTTACACTTTATTTGCATTATAATACGCAATTGATTTTTTTAGAAAGGGGATTTAATTAGTGTTTTCCCCTTTATTTTCAAATCCTAGGAGAGCTCTAGTGCCTCATTCATTTTCCACTCCAGACTTCCTTCTCTAGTTATCTAGATTGATTCAATGGTTAAAACAAAAGGCCTTTTGGCAGACAGGATCTATTTGTTTGCTGTTGGTTTAACATGAGTGTTGAACTTGCCCCCGACGCTGAAACGCTTTATGCCTGCATTGGGTCGAAAGGAGAGGCGTGATCTTTGCTATCTTGTTTTGTTCCTTTCCGACTGTATTTTTAAACGCTTCAGGGCCCTTGTTCTGAGACGACTCACCCGAACCGATAAGAAAACCGCCCAAAGGTCTGGTGATCGCTGGGGTTTGTTAGAGGGCACTGTTTTAATACATCCTGCAGACATTGAGATAGCAAAAAAAATAAAAAGTTCTTTAATGTTTGACTTTCAAGTTGCTTCCCTCCACACGAATGCCATGTCAAGCTCATATGTTTAAACAGAGCTTGAGCGCTAGCCAATCAGCCAACACTAGTGCCCAGTGGGCATCAACCTCTCCACCGCACAGGAAATCCTCGATTGGAAGAGACAAGTGTGCGGCTTAGGCTACTTAAGATGGACAGAGTCTTTAACCTCGGTAAGTACTGCACTCGTAGTCCTTGCCGGCCGGCCGTACTAATGGCCCTTCCTTAGCACAGATCCTCATAGCTGCTGAGCGGTTACTGTAGCCTGCAAAGGCACCTCACCTTACCTACACTGCTTCAGGCGTCTTAGACTGTTTATTCAAATGCCTGCTCACTACTGCCCTAGTTTATAGATGTGATGAATTCTCTTGGATGGCAAGGTAGATATTTTTGAGCTGTCTGTGGTTTCCATCACTCGGCACACGGTGGATCTACACTGGCGACTGGGGTTGTGCAAAATTTAGAATTCCCAGAATTTGCTTCCTTGTAGTTCATAGGTTGGAATTTGAATTTAATGGGTGGCATCACACAGGAAGTTGAATTGGAACTGAAAGGAAGAGGAATTTATGGAAATGAAATTCAAGAGAGGTAATGCATTCTTGGAAATGAAGTGTTATATTAAGTTGATCGACAAAGTTAATGTGATTAATGTCATAAAATATATATAAACTAAATGCACGTTTTAAATAAAGCTTCTATCCACAATACTGTTCAAAAGTTAAGCAAGAGTAAGCATGTTTTTGCTTACCCAGGCTGCATTTATTTGATAAAAAATAATAGGAATATTGTAAAAAATTACAATTTAAAAATCACATGATCTTTTAGAAATCATTCTACTGTTGATTTGATGCTCAAGAAACAGCTGTGATGTTTAATATTTTTGTGAAAACCACTTTTTTCAGAATTCTTTGAATAGAAAGTTCAACTGAGGAATATTTATTTGAAATAGAAATCTTAATCTTTTTGTTTACTTATATTTAAATTCGGGAGTTAAATAAGATTTCAAAAAGCGTTTTCACAACCCTGCTAGCGACAAGTATTACTTTTAAATTTTAGCGCTTTTACCCTAAAATCCAAATTTTTGCACCAGTGTGATTCTCTAGATACAGCAAAACATGGTAAGAGATGAGCCTGGGCACTTCTAAAGTATCGTCCACACCTTGACTGACTTTGTTTGGCTGTATGTTGTTTTGATGTCATCTTCAGCAGGCAGAGTTTTGGGATACTTGAGGTGTCTATTATTGGAGCAGCTGCATCGTGAGCCAGTCAGAATCTCCTCATAAATGGATTGTACAGACAGTCGGATAAGCACGGCTTGCAGCACTGGCGAAATAATACATCCGTATCTTCTCACATCTCGTTCTTTCTCCTATCAAGCTGAAATGCATTTTCTTGTCAATGAGGGCTCTTCCCCCCTGCCACCCCTCCCCATTCTCCACCATTTCCCTCTGCAAACAGGTCCCTCTGCTCGCAAGTGCATACTAATAGAGCAGTAGAGTTATAAGAGGCATGTTTGGCATTCAGTGCAGGGATTTGAGAGAAAGAGAGTTAGTTCAGTTCAGTACAGGGAAAACGTGGTGTACTCGCTGCATTGGTGCGCCAGATCATTCTGTTTCTCTTTACAGCTGACCAGTAGAAACATTTTACTGCTAAAACTTCCACCATTACGTTTTTGCTTTAAAAATGCATAGGTAGGTTTTTTATGCTTGGAGTGCTTGCTAAGGAAAGTATCACTATTATAATTGCTCATAATTTGAGGTTGGAGTTTATTAAAATTACTTAGGCCAAGTGTTACGCTTCAACACATCACTTTTTGTTGCATTGAAGGAGGTTCTCGGACCTATCCAGGGAGTAGAATATTATTAGAAATGCACCTAGCAACCACATAGCAATGTTAAAAACTGCTCGGATCACTTAAAGGGATAGTCCACCCAAAAATGAAAATTGTCATTAATTACTCACTCTAATGTCGTTCCAAACCTGTAAGACCTTCATTCTAGGGCTGGGCGATATGGCCAAAAAATTATCACGATAATGTTTTTTCGTATCAGTCGATATCGATAATTATCACGATAAATGTCACATTTTTATTTATTTCAAGTTTTCAGGCAGATTTTTGATCCAATGTGAAAGTTGTAAAAATCAGACCGTTAATTGTGGTTTTAAACTATTCTTTATGGCCAGAACACGACAAACACTTCACGTTTTTGAATTCTTTACACTTATCCAATCATTTTTCCTTAACAAAATAAATATCTTAATAGAAAAAAAAAAATTCATAGTTCTGCACATTCTGAGTAATAGTTTCAACTTGTAAACGAGTTTGTGTTGCCTGATAATATTAATAATATTATATATTTTTTTGTTTCTTAGAAATACACATTTAATAGTATCTTAAGTTAGGATGCAGATGTAGATTTGTTCATTATCAAAATCAGTAATATCTGTAAGGCCACGTTCACACAGCAGCAGAATACGGTTGTCAGTCCTGTTTTTGAGTCCTTAATACGGTTACGTTCACACACAGTTCGGTTATTTACGGGCGTGACAACCGCATTCTGTAACCGAACTCACACCCGTAAATTTTCAGGACTCACAACCGCATTCTCGGAGCACACGCACTGTGTGAACGGAACAGGACTGGACAACTAGTTGTCTGTCACATCATACTGTGCGAGAGAGAGCGGCTCTGCCGCACAAACGCGCGTCTACCGTGTGCTACATGTTTTCATGCGTGTTTTCGGTAACTTACAGTGATGGAGAAATGAGCTGCGTGTCATCTGAACGTTTTAGATCTGGTCAGTTTTCCACCGGAGAAGCTCCTGTCAGTTTTGTGTTCTGCGCACGATTCAAATGCTCCGCTCTCCACCCAAATTTAAAAGCTGCTGTCGGTTAATGAAGATTTGACTAAAGAACTCGCGGCTCGATTGGACTCTTGTCGTGTCAGAAAGTGATAAGATTTTCAGTTTTATGGACGTCGCCATCTTTGATTTTACTTTGGTCACTGTCACTATGGTTACTAGTAAGGAATACGGGCTTGACTCCCGTTGCACGTTCATACAGACAGTATTCTAAACACAACTGTAAGCTGCTGTGTGAATTTCGAGACTCACACCTGTAAAGAAAATGCAGTTGTCAATCCCAAAAACTGACAGTGTGAACGTAAGTATTGTAGCAACCTCATTTTTATATGGTGAAATTTAATTATTCTGACTGTTTGAGTTTTTTTTTTTAATTAACCACTGGTCTTCTATAGTAGCATACATTTAGATCATGGTAATCACAGTTAAAACCACAAATATAGCACCTCAATACCATGGTAAAAATGTAATATGGTTTTTAGGTCTTTGTATGAAGAACAATAGCTAGTCTAAATAAATGTAGTATAAATGCTATAGTTTAATCACAAAAAAAAAATTGTAATTATATTTCATTACTCCTCCTTCAATACATTTAAACCATGTCTATATTAATAATATAAATTCGACACAAATACCCACATTTCTGACACAATACCATGGTGCAGTTAGTGCTACTACAGTAAATCTATGGTAAATGATGGCAATTTGTAGATTAAAAAGTCTTCTAACTGTATCGTTGAGCACAGTGTTTCTCCTGTGTCAGCGCGGTTTCATCTGGCTGTAAACAGTTATTTGTGTTCTTCGCTGAATGCAAGCGCTTCACACTGGAACTCACAGCACCGTTTGATCGAGACTCATCAGCGAGTGAACACATCTGCTCCAGTGAAGCTTGCGCCGTACCGCCGTTTAAACTTTGATCCAAGCGGATAAACGGTCCGAGTGACGCGCTTCAAATGAGTTGCGCTCTTTCGTTTCACCTTTGCCTCATAAACATTATATAGAAAATGTATCGACCACTTGTTATCGTTTATCGAGGAAATTTATATTGTGCGATAATTAACGTTATCGATTTATCGCCCAGCCCTACTTCATTCATCTTCTGAACAAATATTAAGATATTTTTGATGAATTCTGAGAGCTCTCTGACCCTCCCATAGACAGCAAGGATCCTAACACGATCAAGGCTCAGAAACGTAGCAAGGACTTGGAGAGTGTCACATATGTATGCTGTTCTGTATCAGCAGCACCGTACGCGGATACGTTGTTTACGCTTTGATCTGAATGTAAACAACGTATCCGTGGACATACGTTGCATACGTTGTTTACGTATGATACGCTCTAAAATGGTGCTATAGGGTGACGCGGAGGAGACAAATTTAATAAATTCATTATTTTTGTTTTCTTTGCGCACAAAGTATTCTGGTAGCTTCGTAAAATTACAGTTGAACCATTGATGTCACGTGGATTATTTTAACAATGTCCTTGCTACGTTTCTGAGCCTTGATCGTGTAAGGATCCTTGCTGTCTATGGGAGGGTCAGAGAGCTCTCAGAATTCATCAAAAATATCTTAATTTGTGTTCCGAAGATGAACGAAGGTCTTACAGGTTTGGAACGACGCAAGGGTGTGTAATTTATGACAGAATTTTCATTTTTGGGTGAACTATCCCTTTAAGCAATCTCTTAGCAGAGGCAATCATCCACAACTTATCAGTATTGAGTGGCATCACTACTAACATTTAGAAAATGTAACATTTTATTTACAGTATGAGAACGGTTTTAAAGAATTTGAAACAACTTGCCTAAGCGAACGTTCCAGACAAGAAGAATAGCAAAGCGCACAGCAAAAATTTACTAGCTCATCTAAATGCCAAATGGCATCACTGTTTGCTAACAGTATACCAAGGCAAAGGTATTTCGTGCTACTTTTTAACCCAACGAGAAAGAACTTTGCTGTGAGTATATCATGGCCTTAAGCTTTTGCTGCAGTCCCTAAGTGACTTGAGTTGTTGAAAGAGCTTGCTAATGCTTTTCTTTATCTTTTCTATATTCTATATCCCCCACAGACCCCAGAGGAACTGGACGACTCTGACTTTGAGACGGAAGACTTTGATTCTCGTAGCAGGACCAGCGTGCAGACAGAAGACGATCAGCTCATCGCCGGACAGAGCGCTCGGGTGAGAGTTGGGGCTTTTGTAGTTCACAGCTTTGGTTTCATGGTCGGCCAGTTTATGGAGCCACTAAGGGATGTCAAAAGGTGATCCTAAAATTACAAGATAGTAATGTTCCTTTGTAGATACTTGTATGGAATCTGTCCAGGGACTTAGTAATTTCCTTTTTCAGTGTTTTTATAATTAAACTATCACAATCTATTTAAAGAGTCGTAGACAGGGTTGCGAGGTGCTAAACGCTTTATTCACCGGTAAGATTTGCAGCATCACGGCCAAATCCACCTTTGCTTCACTGTTAATCACCAATAGCACAGAAACTCTGAATCAGTGTTTTTAAGATTCTGTACTGATTTCGTGTCAACAGCGCTCCTGATGTTGCCACCAGCGAAACAGACATCAAACCTCGCCCCCCTCTCTACCTCCATTCCTCCTCTCTCTCTCACCCCTCCCTTCACATCCTCCTCTGTTGCCTTGGTAATGCTTATGAAAATCCGTCCCTACATAGCTGGAAGGAACAGGGAATATATATTTTTTTATTATTATTTTGTTATTAGTTTGAATATATTCTCTAGTCCACAGCTGTGGTGATGGTAGACACTGCCGATGATTGGCATCCTGTTTTCCTTTTTAAATTCAGCATTGTGAGAGAGAGGTAACGGGAACCAAGTTGTGTTTGGGGATCTTGTTAGTAAGAGTGCTAGCTTTTCCTGCGAGCACTTCTTCAGAGTTCCTTGTGTGACAGCACAAATGGAAAGCAATATGTGGCCCAAGTTTTTTTTAATAAATGCATTTTAAAATTTTGGATTTTCTTTTGTCAATAAGAATTGTTCCTGGTCGTGTAAGGCTGTCATCTATTCATATTTACATCAGCTGTGCCATTCGCATATTCTTTGTTCCCCAAGCTCGCACGAATATAATTACAGACCTCTCACCCTCCTTTTCCATAGTGATGTGAGCATGTTGATGAAAACTAAAAAAATACTGAGAAAATATTCAGCTCTAATCGTTTAGGGGATGGCAGGAGACTTTAAGAGCTCAAGACTTGAACAGAAAGCTCTTGTTAAAGATAAAAGCGCTGCAGAAGACTTACATTTTCCGTTGAACCTTGTTGCTGGGGAAGCGAGTAGTATTTTTGTTTAGAGAGTTGTAGAAAACTGGGCAGTGGAGGTTGTGCTTGAGTGAGAATGTGATTATATAAGTCTGTAATCACTGTCCAGCCTCCTGTTCCACCCCCCCAGAGGCTTTTGATTTAGTCCCTAGCTCCAGTGGGAATCCCAGTCACTCAGTTAATGCACAAATGTGTGCCACGTGTGTGCCGGTGCTCCAAATTTAAAGAGAAAATTGAGTTTATGAGGCTGAAAAATTAAATTCTTTGTGAGAACTTGCCAGAAAGGTTTATTTCAAATAAGGCAGTTTTTTTTTTTTTTTTTTTTTTTAGGTAATCATTGTTCAGCATGTCCTAACCAGGTGTGACGCAGCATATATCCAGCGACAAATAATTTTATACACACGTGCATTTATATACGTAAATGAATATATTATTATAATTAAAAAACATTAATTATTTTTTTGTGTACACTACTGTGTTTGGGGCAGTTTTGTTTTCTAAATATTTGAAATTTGAAATATATTTATATTATGCTCACCAAGGCTGCATTTATTTGATAAAATACAGTAAAAAAACGTAATATTGTAAAATATTACATAATGAACATAAAACATAACTTTTCTTTTTTAATATTTTTAACATGTAATTTATTCCTATGATGGCACAGCTGAATTTTCAGTAGCCATTACTCCAGTCACTCAGAAATCATTGTAATATTCTGATTTAGTGCTAAAGGAACATTTCTTATTAATGTTGAAAACGGTTGTGCTGCCCCCAAACTTTTGAACAGAATGAATGAATATATATATATCGGACCACTGAGTTTTGACAGATGGGATTAATGAGCGTGACGCCTCAAATTGACCAAAAAATGCCCTTGTGCCTGTCAAGGTATTGCATCACAGCTAGTTGGCACGCGTGTTATTTAACAAAAAAGATCAAGCTCGTTTTCTGTTCATCTTTGATGTGCTGAATGCAGTGGCACATATTCAACTGGCCTCATCATTCGAGTTTTGTAGGGCTATTGAGGCTGCAGAAAGCATTGCTCAGCATAGTTCTGAAAGGTTGTGAACCTTTTACAGAATTAGAGGAATGTTTCATAGCCCATACGCCACCAGCCAAAGCTGTAAAATCTCTCCTGCTCGCTCGGGCCAGGCCGGTCATGCAAGAAATGAGAGGGAGAAAGAGAGAGCGAGAGAAGGACAAAGGAAGGTGTAAGAGAGAAGCAAAGAAAGAAGCAGGAAGGAGGATTGAACATCAATTTTCTTTTTTTAATTGCATATCCTTTGTCATCTCTTCACCTCATTAACAGTCATAGATCAGCGTATTGTGAGCAGATTTATGTGCGGTGTGTTATATATGAGATTCTCTGTGGAATTGGCAGGCCATCATGGCTCAGCTATCCCAGGAGCAGAAGGCGAAGATTGCCGAGCAGGTGGCCAGTTTCCAGGAGGAGAAGAGCAAGCTGGACGCCGAGGTATCCAAGTGGGATGACAGCGGAAATGACATCATCGTTTTGGCCAAGCAAATGTGCATGATCATGATGGAGATGACAGACTTCACCAGGTGAGCTCAAACCACCCTCTTCCCTGCTCGAATGCCTGTCAAATATCACACAAACACACACATACACACATCTCTTTTAGAGTCAACTCAATAGACCTCTCTGGCCATGCACTATTGCTCCGGTTTCACTGCGTCCCGGCTCAGTGCTTCAGCTTTATATTGGTTTGTATGGCAGTTTGCATTGGCAATGAAATGTGCACAAGCCTTTTTAGAGGGAAAGCTTTTCGAATATTGAAAGAGAGACTGGTGAAATCTGTTATTTTTTTATACCTAATTTCCCCCTGTCATTTACCTAAATCGGCCATCAATTAGTAAGGTCTAATATTAACTGAGACAAGCACTCTGTTCTGTCTCATAGAGCCTTTTTTCCCTTCTCAGTGGAAGCAAATCAGCTGTGGATTTTTTTTCGTGGGCTTTTTACCTGCCTCATTTGCTTGCCTCATTGTCTTTCCATCATACGTGATCCCTAAAGAAAGGGTTCGAAAGGGAACAAAATCTTTCAACCTTAAAAAAAGATTTGATTTAAAAACAACAAAGGGCAGGAGCTGTTGGCGCAAGGAAAGGTCACCTGAATTCTTCCACTGTATGCTGACAGAATCAGGGAAAAGGTAATTTTAGGTGTAACGGAGCACGCTCATGTGCCGCACACCTGAGAGTGACTGCCATCTGCTCTCCCAGAGGACACTGTGTCTGTGTTTGTGTGTGAGCGAGAGAGACAGAGATGGAAAATGTCTTGGACTATCGCTTCTCCCTGCCTATGCTAACCAAGACCCCTTTTTAAAGTGGATCATGCTGAGGACACCGTTCGGACACCGTTCTGTGTGAAGTACAGACTGAACGGATTGTCAACACATCCCACCACTGTATGGCCAGATGAGACGCAAACTACGTTTTCTCGACTGGATAACCAGTCTCGCTAGTAAAGTTTTGATGGATGAAAACTGCAATCAAGGTTAAGGAGTCATACAGTAAGCACGCGTGATTCCGTTATATTAATGAGTGTACGAGTGCTCTTGACGCACTGATCGCCCATTGTATTTATGCACAGGCACAGACATTTCTGTACATTCACGTTGTTTCCACACACATTCACGATAATGTTTTGATTTGTCATGTTTATGTTGTTGTGTTTAGTTATACTGAATGGATCCGTGTACTGTAGTACAGTGGTTCTCAAACCTGTCCTGGAGTACCCCCAGCCCTGCACATTTTATATGTCTCCCTCATCTATCACACCTGATTCAACTCATCAGCTCATTAGTGGAGACTGCAAGACCTGAAGTGGGTGTGTCAGATATAGGGAGATATATAAAATGTGCAGGGCTGGGGTTACTTTATGGAGAGGTTTGAGAACCACTGCTGTAGTAGATATATGCAGTCAGCAGGCAGTTGATTTAGTTTTTTTTTTGCCATCTCCATGTGGTCCTGTTCGGTATCGCAACTTGACTTCTCTAAAATATAAAAAAAGTTCATTGCTGTTGCACTGTACACATACTATAAAATTCTGATTTTTTTTTTCTTTCATATGTGCTTATTACGGCTGTGCGATTAATCGAAATCTAATCGAAATCGCGATTTGAGACGTTGCGATTTCCTAATCGCAAAGCCTGCGATATTTGATATTTTCCCCCAAATCACACAGCTGTAGTGCTTATATGGGCTCCTTATATCATTTGGTTCTTTGGTGTCCTTTTGGAGTTTTTAAAAGTGTCCTTTTTTGGAAAGACATCTATATTTATCATGAAAAAAGCTTGCAGAAAATACAGATTTTTGAGAACCACCCTTGAATCTTTTGGTTTACTTTGCTGGATATAGCAAATGATGACAAAATAAACATTTGAAACAAGATAAATGGTCTATGCTCAATATCTGTCAAAAAAATCGCAATTTGATATTTTCCCCCAAATCACACAGCTGTAGTGCTTATATGGGCTCCTTATATCATTTGGTCCTTTGGTGTCCTTTTGGAGTTTTTAAAAGTGTCCTTTTTTGGAAAGACATCTATATTTATCATGAAAAAAGCTTGCAGAAAATACAGATTTTTGAGAACCACCCTTGAATCTTTTGGTTTACTTTGCTGGATATAGCAAATGATGACAAAATAAACATTTGAAACAAGATAAATGGTCTGTGCTTAATTTCATGAAGTGTGAAATCACAGAAAAAGGGTGTGATTAATTAGATTAAAAATTTTAATCTATTGACAGCCCTAATATTACTATATTACTATATATAAAAAATAAACATAGGGAATGCAAACTATACACACACACACACACATCTAAATGGGGACATTACATAGACTTCTATTGTTTTTATATAAGCTAATCCTATCCCTACCCCTTACAGAAAACTTTCTGCATTTTTACAATTAAAAAAAAAACAAAAAAACACTTTATTTAAAAAAAACTTTAATCAAAAGTTATCATTACCTATTAATAACATATATTTATTATGTTCATTAAAATGTTCGTCAACTATTTTCATTAGTGCCCTAAACATGATGTATCTGTCGGCTGTTTTGTGTTTTTGGCAGGAGAATGGTATTGTTTTCATTGAAGGTGACACTCATGCTTCTTGTTGAAGGCCCCCAGAATTCTGTCATTGTCTCGAGTAAGAAAGCAACAAGGCTGCAGTACATCTGTCAGTGTGGTTGCACAGATTTGGTTGCATTTGCATGAAAAATGGCAATCGGTGCTGATGTGTCACCTGCAGAAATGTGCTGAGTGAAGGTCTCGGCAAGTTAATTCAGTCCACGCCCAAATTATTGCCCCTCGACCTTGGATGGGTACACAGTCCCATGAAGGTTAATGCTATAAAGGAAATTGATTTCGGGAGCCTTTATCCAGCCTCAATATCTGCAGAGAAGAGGCTTGCCACCAGTTCTGCTTATGTCCCTTTCTGCTCATGAATAAAGCATGTGTCGCCTGGATTCGTGTCACATATTTTGGAGCCACCTGTCTGTGCATGCTGTGGTCCAGTGCTTGAGCAGTTATGACACACACACACAAACACACACACACACTCTTTCTCACATACACAAAATTGCACTACCCCCATCTGGAACCAGTATCAGTGGCTAATTCATGGGCACTCAATCAGATTTGCATATCTGAGTGTGGGGATTGTCAAGTGAGATGAAGTCACTCTTGCTCGACAGTCACCTTGTAGTGGCCACACTCTCACCTAGGGCAGGTTGTGGGTGGGCCACCACCAAAGCAACATCAAAATAACCTGTCCTTTGTGTTTCAAAATGTTAGACGTGTTGGTTGCTCTTTGTGGGGTGCATTTTCTTTTTGAGATGTCTCTAGTGAATTCCTGTGACTGTTCTGATAGATGCAATGCTGCCAGGAGGACCCTGTCTGAACGGCACAGAAAGAGAGAGAGAGTAATAGGGAGGGGTGAGTGTTGAGAGAGAGCAAAAACACAAAATTCCATCTGTTGTGGGTTGGATTGTTCAGTTTAGCCTGAAGAGAGCAGCTTTGAATCCAGGTTGCGCCACTTGCCAACTGTGCCCTGCAGTCCCTTGTGGGCACACAGAACTGACAAATGGCTGGCCTGATCGTAACCAGGGAGCTGTGGGGGGGTGAGCTGGGATGGATGAGGCCAGAACTATTAAATGAACTGAAGTGGCAGTGACCCCAGGAAGCTGACCAGACATCACAGAAGTGGGTGGGAGCTGCTGCTAGCTCACACCATCTGTCTGTCTATGCGTATCTCGTTCATTCGTACCCCCCTCGAAGTCTTCAAGCTACTAGTGAATGGAAGCGTGTTGGAGAGGGATGTTCCTCCTTAATGAGATTAATCAATTGGAAGCGAATTGATCTCGTCTTGCCCAAAAAGCCCTATTCATGCTGTTCCTGTGAGTGTGAGGCTGTGAAACAAGAACCTGTTTTTTTCATCAACCTTGTCAATATGAGCAGCCATTCTTATCTGTTGAACGTGTTGACGTTTTGATATGTATCACCCATGCTCGCACATACTCACTAGCACGTCACATAAGACTGCACACAGAACAGTAACTGTGAATGAAACTGCTGTTTTTTTTCTCCCAGGGGTAAAGGACCACTCAAAAACACCTCTGATGTGATTAGTGCTGCGAAGAAGATTGCTGAAGCCGGATCAAGAATGGACAAGCTGGGCCGCGCTATTGCGGATCAAGTAAGTTGAACTCAAATCTGTTTTGCAGGAAAAAAAGATCTCTTCTCTTGGTGAATTGTCCATGCTCTTGTTTTTCATTTAAGAATCTTAATCCTTATGAAGCACTCCAGTGAAACGCAACAGTGCATAATTTATCTCCCAGCCAACTCCTATACCTGGCTTTTTCCCAGCACCTTTCGAAAAATTGTGACTGAGACCATGATGCAAAAGACGGCACTGCGGGTCTGTAAATCCAATCCCTGTAGTCCGACACTTATTTTCCTGGAAAGCTCTTCTTATTCTTGAAGCTGAATGACAATGACAGGTTCACAGGCTTCGTGAAAATAATATGGGAACATTTCCAGTAAACATCAAACTGGCGTATGTGCTGCAATGGTTCTTTTAGATTTTTTTTTTTCTTCTCAATAGCGTTGTTGAAAGTGATATTGTGAGCTCGGGAAGGGGGTTTTGCATGGCAGAATCATCACCCATCACTCATCCCTCCACGAAGGCCTCTCCTCTGTTTGTCATTTAATTAAGAGTACGTCACGCTGTGCTAACATCACCATGCAGCATGCAGACTACCAGTTTGATGTGTCAATAGCTTTTACACTTTGAACTGCATTAAGCTAAAGGGTTAGCGGCGAGAACTTGTGAAGCTCAGGGTCACGCTAGATGTTAATTTCTTGAGTTCATGCATTTGCAAGCACGTTTTGCCCATGCAGCGCAGTGCAGCACCCAGGGAGGGAATGTAAAGATACGCGGCGTTATCCTATTTTGCCGCATGGTTATGGCTGTTAATTAGGCGTGCCTGTGAACATCTGCAGTGTGCCTTCAAAAAGATTCCTTTAACATAAACTTGCATAATAAGCAGCCTTCATGCAAACCGAAGCTCTGCACTTTTGATATTTTATTTAGATTGCACTTTGATCCGACGTGAAGCAGCTCCACGTTTCAAGTCTGTAGTAATGCTACCTATGCCGACCCAATTGGAGAGGAATACTAAATGTCCAGTTCAGAGATGGTGAAAGCTTTCATAGACAGCCACGTCCTGCAAAGTCTTTGATGTTTCTTATTCAGTGCTGTGAATACAATGATATCCCCTGCAGAAAACAGATGGGTACTGTGCAGGTGCTTGTGTGTGTGTCTGTGTTTGTTTGCTTATCTGCACAAACTGGCACATAAATGAAAATGCATTATGTTTTGTAAACGGTGTCCATTATACTGAACCTGCCAATTTGTTGAGTAATGGGTTTGATTTGCATGTAGGACGCATTTAAAATGAACTTCACGACACGTGCCAAAGACAGGCGTGATGAGATTTCACTGCTCATAATTTAAATTTTTTTGTATTATTCTTGTTTTTTTTAACAGTTTATTTAAATATATAATTTAATAACAATATTGTAACTAGTAATACAAAAATAAATGTATTACTACTAGTGCTACTAATATTTTTTTTACATAGTTTTTATTATATACTGTTATATTTTAATATTTGAATATAAAATTTCAGTTATTTATTTATTTTTTAAATCTCTCCGAATTTAGATTGTCATTGCATATTTGTGAAACAAGCAAGTCTTCATCTCTCTACACCAGTCTCAAGAACAGACAGTTTTTATTCATATTTAGTACTTGACAAAATTCATTTTGTATGCTGGGTGAGTGTAAGTAGGGATTGCTGTATGCATTAGCAAGTGCATTGGTTGTGGGAGGAGATGTCTGTCCTAGTGTGACCCCTGCTTTTAAACAGGTGTGAGCAACTCCTGACATGCAGCCCAGTCCCGATTGGTCCCCCCTCCTCTTGTCCTGCCTACAAATAGAGGAATTAAGGGCAGTAGGTGAAGATAAAGGGAAAGGAATGAGGGATGGAAAGCCCCAAGTGAGACCTGAATCCTTTAAGTGTGCTTCGTCTTTAATTAGCAGCATAATTATCAGGTGGCAGCTTTCTTTTTCTCTTTTATATGTTTATGCCAAACTATATTTAGACTGCTCCTCACACCTTCTTGTGCAGATGAGGCTGCCAGAGGCTAACTGCCGAAAAATGAACAAAGGGAAGCAGTTTCTTATACAGAAGGATGAATCATCAGATTCAGAAGAGCCTGCGGAGGGATGGAAAGCAAATAATTGTAGCACTCCTCCCCCTACTCTCTGCCCTCCTTCCTCTCTTTGTCATTTCAAAGCCCTGCCACAGAATACACAGCGGTGGGCTATAGCATCACTCCTGACTGCTCGTCTAGTTTGTCATGTCATGTACTTTTGTTACATCTGAGATTGCCAACAGACACCACAACAGAGCCGCCATGTGTTGATAGGCCAAAAATATCAGTGAAAGTTGAATATGCCAAAAACAGCATTCTTTAGAAATCTTGTACAGGTAAACAAGATGATGCAGAATGGGGGAATTAAGATTTTGGAGGGAAAAAAATCAATGTTGAAAGCATGGATTGTATTGCGTAACTCTTCACAAATGCATCCTAGCAGCAAGCTCGACTACTTAAACCTAACTAATCAAAATGAGGATGTGACAAAACATACTCCTCTGCATCTGGAGGCCAACCAAGGATGCAAACAAGACAGCGGTAACCAAGCGGATAGTGTGGGTGTTCGTTGATGAGTACAGAGAGGCCTTTTAAAAATCAGCGGGAGGTGCGTCTTGTCTGAGAATCAGGCCTTCTGAATCCATTTCACAACATCTAGCTGTTGTATGTAGATGTTTTTGGATCATCGCAGATGCTGCCAGAAATGTTTGGGCCGGTTTAATAATCAGTTTAATGGCTGGAACAGAGCTCGATTAAAATTTAAAGAAATTAGTGTAGTGCATAGATGAGGAGAATGCAGGATTTAGGTCATTGCCACACAAAGGTCTGCACTGCAGTTTATTAAGAATTTACGAGCAGATTCTGCAGGGGCAACTTGTGAGGATTTCATCTGAGCACAGTGCTGAGCAAATAATGCAGTGTAATTGAGATTTATAATGCAAATGTGTAAGCCACCACACTGCCCATAAATATTGTGCCCTACATGCATGCACATGAAGGCATGAAACCGGCACACACGGACACGATCGCAGAATACTAGGTTTGCATATTTTAGCGAGGCAGACCTGCGGGCGGCAGCACGTGCTTTATGCCAGTGATGTATACCGACATACATAGTTTTCCAATTTAAATCAGGGAAGATTTATGGTGATCCATAGGCACCACCACAGGTTGGATTAATCCCAGTTCTGGCCTCTGGCTGCATAAGGGTGACAGGCCTGTAAATTTCCTTCTCTACAGTAGAAGAGCAAAACAAAATCAAGATGCGATCCCACAAATTCTCAGCTCAGCACTTCAAGGGTTGGTAACTTATATGATGCCCACCAGCCTGGTTGAGACTCCTGGTTTTATGGCATAACGGCAGACTATTTAGCAGGGTTTGAAATCTTTGAATTGGGTAAGTGAATCATATTTTAGACATGAAGTATGAATTGCCTTGCAGACATATTCATTCAGAGGTGTTAAGACGTTCAGCCAGTTTCCTCGTTTTACTCTATTACAAATGCTACAAATGTTTTTCTCAGTTTTTCTTTTTTTTTTGTAGGAAATGTTCCTAAACTGAATTGTGCTGTTTTTTTTTTAAGTATTTGGTTTCGGTGTTGTAGCAGCTCTAAATTTACACCGTTGGAAAAGCAATTGAATTAATGACACGATTGCTTTCTACATGTGAATCATTAAGGTAGCTACAGCATTTCCTTAAATTCCCAAAGGTGGAGATCATTATTTAGATAGTGAATCAAGGCTTCCCTCAGTCATGGAAATACCAAAAACTGGTGTGTTTTTTTTAGACTTGGGAAAGCTCATGGAAGTTACTTTTTCTGTAAAATATTTATCTGCTCTTGTGTAGAGTAAAACTTGATAGTAAGCCATAGTTTTTGGTTTGTGAATTAATTGCTCAGTCAGTTCTCTTCAGTTAGTTAGTAAGAATGGTTCACAAATCAGTTTGTCAAGTCAAGTCAAGTCACCTTTATTTATATAGCGCTTTTAACAATACAGATTGTGTCAAAGCAACTGAACAGCATTAATTAGGAAAATAGTGTGTCAATAATGCAAAATGACAATAGTAAACACTCATTTTTAAGTTAAAGGCAGTTCATCATTGAATTCAGTGATGTCATCGTCCAGCTCAGTTGATTTAAGTTTATACAATTCTTCCTTTATGTTTGTGATTCTTTAGCAAATTGGTCTATCTAAAATCTTTCAAAAATCTTTATTCTGTGATCTCAGAGGTCGTGGAGAGCTCATTGGTTAAAAAAGCAATCCTGTGAAACTGAAGGATTGCTGTGGAAAACTTAGGGGTGTGAATCGGCACTGGTTTCACGATTCAATTTGATTACGGTTATCATGTCAACGATTCAATTCAATTCGATATCACGATGCATCAAGATTATATCAAATTTATTTTGTGCATTTTTATTCAATTATATAAGCAGGCTACTTTTTAAAATAATTGTTAATTAATTACTTATTAATATTATATTAATTAATATATAATTGATTAATTATTGTTAAGAATTAAAAGTAAATATAGCTTTTAAATCATACAAGCAAATATAAAGTAATAAATGGGGAAAATACAATTACAAGGCATAAACAAAAAGCACTTTCATTATCTGGGAGTGCTTTAAGTATCCGAAAGTTTACAGATAGGCTAATCATAGTTATTTTTATTTTTTTTGCCATTTGATTATTACTGATGAGATCATGGACAGTGGCAGCTTTAATAGGCTGCATTCACACTAATACACAGATCTATTTCGACATATCAGATGTTTTGTCCTGTTCTGAAAACATAACTGATTGTTTACATCAATTTCGTATCATAAAAGTAGATGCAAGTGCATTTAACCGCAGCTGCGAGGTTCAGGACAAGCACAAAGCGCACTAGGGCTGGGCGATATGACGATATTATCGTATATCAACGATGTCTCCTAAGTATCGTGATGTCGATGTCAACAGTCAGGTAACAGACGATTA